TATATCACCTAAGGCAACAGAAAATAAAGGAGAAAATGAACACATGGGACTACATCAAACTAAAAAGCTTCTGCACAGCAAAAGAAACAATCATCAAAATGGAAAGGCAACCCACTGTATGGGAGAATATCATTGCCAATGATGTATCAGATAAGGGGTTAATTTCCAATATATATAGAGTGCTCATACAACTCCACAAAAGGAAGACAAAGAACCCAATTAAAAAATGGGCAGAGAAGCTGAATAGACACCTCTCCAAACAGGACATACAAATGGCCAAGAGACATATGAAGAAATGCTCAACATCACTAATCATCAGAGAGATGCAAATTAAAATAACAGAGGTATCACCTCACACCTGTCAGAATGGCCGCCATCAACAAATCATCAAACAACAAGTGTTGGCGAGGGTGTGGAGAAAAGGGCACTCTAATACACTGCTGGTGGGAATGCAGACTGGTGCAGCCGCTATGGAAAACAATATGGTGCTACCTCAAAAAATTAAAAATTGAACTTCCATTTGACCCAGTGATCCCACTGCTGGAAATATACCCTAAGAAGCCTGAAACACCAATCAGGAAGAATATATGTACCCCCATGTTCATAGCAGCACTATTTACAATAGCTAAGATCTGGAAACAGCCCAAGTGTCCACCAGTAGACGAATGGATAAAAAAGCTGTGGTACATATACACAATGGAGTACTATGCAGCTTTAAGAAAGAAAGATCTCTTATCCTTTGAGACGACATGGAGGGACCTGGAAAGTATTATCCTAAGTGAAAGAAGCCAAGCAGAAAAAGACAAATACCACATGATCTCACTTATATATGGAATATAATGAAATTAACAGTCTGAGGAATACAGTAGACCCAGAAACATGGAAGTAGGGCACAGACTGACATCCCTCAGAAGAGGGGTTGGGGGGCTGTAGGGGTGGGAAGAGATAAACCACAGAACTGATATGCATGTATGCATGACCAATGGACATGGACAACTAAGCCGGGGATGGGGCGGAGGTGGGGTGGGGTGGGGGGTGTCAATGGGGTAAAAAGGTAAAATATCTGTAACAAAAAATAAATAAATAATTCATAAAAAATAAAAATGTGGTGGTACATATACACAATGGAGTACTGTGCAGCTGTAAGGAAGAAAGATCTCTTATCCTTTGAGACGACATGGAGGGACCTGAAAAATATCATACTAAGTGAAACAAGCCAAACAGAGAAAGACAAGTATCATATGATCTCACTTATTTGTGGGATGTAATGAACATAACAGTCTGAGGAATGGAGTAGTCCCAGAGACGTGGAAGTGAGGTACAGACTGACAATTCCCAGAATAGGGGGTGGTGGGGGAGAGATAAACCACAGAACTTATATGCATGTGTGCATGAAAATGGACATGGACAACAAAGCTGGGGACAGGGCAGGGAGGGAGGCGGAGGGGGGAATCAGTGGGGGGGAGGAGAAACATCTGTAACAAAAGTTAGTTAATGAAAATAAATTAATTAATTAATTAATAAAATAAAATAAAATAAAACTGAGAGACTCGGGAAGTCTGGGAAACTGTCTTCAAGCAACTATTCTCGGCCCTGTCTTTGCATTAGATCACCTAGGGCTTTAAAAGCCTGATACCTAGGCCACTCTCTAGCCAATCACATAGACTTTTAGGGAGTGGGACCCAACATCTGTGTTGTTGTTTTTTTTAAGTTTCTCTGGTGGTTTCAGTTTATAGCCAAGGTGGAGAAGCACAGGTGTGATCAATAACAAATTAACACATCTCCTTTTTTCTTGTACCGAGCAAAAATGTCACTTAGTACCCCCAAGAGCCCAAAATAAAATGTGGAATTACAAAGGCCACCCAAGTTCCTTCCCACACTGTTATTACCTGTTTCTAGTCTGAGAAAGCTTCCTTGTAGATCATGTTCACTGCTCCTGCAGTCTGGCTGTCAACTTTCTTGGTCGCTGTTAGTTCCGCACAGGTGTTAAATGCTTCATTAGCACTTTCTGCTGCAACTGGAAGTGCCCCCTCCTCAAACAACCCCTAAAGGCACAGCAGAAGCCACTCGGTTCCAGGTTTTGCACCTCTGCAGCTGCTCTCAGCTCTTTTTTTTTTTTTTTAATATGTTTTTATTGACTTTTTAGAGAGAGAGGAAGGGAGAGAAAGAAACATTGATGTGAGTGAGAAATATCAATCCGCTGCCTCCTGTACGCTCCCCTACTGGGAATTGAGCTTGCAACCCGGAGATGTACCCTGACTGGGAATCAAGGAATCGAACCGGTGATCTCTCAGTCCATAGGACAACACTCAGCCTACTGAGCCATACCAGCTGTTCAGCCTTTTTTTTATTGCAGTACATTTTCTTTCAAGGGAGCTACCCCTGCTACAATGCTCCCTACCTGGGCGGCTTCCCTTTATCTGAAAGGGACAAGCTGATTGATCTAGGTGTTTTTAAAGGGGACATGACCTTGTGCCTTCTGCAAAATTTGGAAAAAATATAGTAAAAATGAATATTTAAAAATAAATATTTTTTTACAGCTGAGATTTCTTCCACTTTGCCCCCACTACAGCTTGTGTAAACTTTACAGTAATTATCTTATTAAATTATAATTATTTGGGGTATGTATGTATGTATGTCTCCCATCTAGACTGTGAACTTCTTGAAGCACGAAAATGTATTAGTCCTCTTGTATCCAAAGTAGCTAATAGAAAGCCTGACACTCCCCTACTGGGAAGTGGATTCTTGGTAAATGTTGAAATGAACTAAATGTGTTAAGTGTATAACTTTGGGTTACTGACCTAATCTCCATTCAAAATTCCTTTTTCCTTGGTCACCATTAAATAACAGTGGCCACAGGCAGAGTGCTAGACAGTGAGAAGTAAGCAGAAGTCCTCTGGTTAGGGCTTCCAGGAGGGTCTTTGTTTTCCTACCAAAAAACAGGACAGATTGGCCTGGCCTGCCCTGCCCACTTCAAACTCTACCCCTTCCTACTTTCCTCCTCCTCCACCTCCTCCTCCTTCTCCCCCTCCTCCTCCTCCTCCTTCTCCTCTTCTCCTCCTACTTCTTCGTCCTACATGGAACTTAGAGGTAAAGGCTGGAGGTGTAGTAGCCATCTTCACTTCATGAAGTGAAGAAAAAGAGGACAAGTCCAATATGTTCTGAATGGAAGAGCAGAAAGATAGGAAGAGTCCAGATTTCTGATGGCAGCAGCTATGCCAGATCTGGACTGTTTATCTGCCAGCCTTCGGACTTCTTGTTATAGGAGGAAAAAATCCCATATCTGCCACTGTGGTTAAGTGTTCTGTTATTTTCAGACAAACACATTTGTAACTGATATAACAAGTATGTTATTAATAAGTATGCATTTAAAGCCCTAGTGTTGCTCTTAGCACATAGTAGAGACCCATTAAGTATTTGCATATGTATTAACTTATTCCTGCAAATAGAATCTTAAATAAATGAATGGGTTGTATGAATCCCAAGAAGATTCATTTGATGTAATCCCAGAAAAGGCTGATATGGACTCCCCACAGTCAACTGAGGGCCCATGTTTTATAAACAATGAGAGTCTAGTGGCCATCTGCTAACAGAGGCTCTTACATACTCTGTAAACCAGGAAGAATCTCAGACTGAGATTTCAACCTCCTGCACTGGCTCCTGCTGTCTGAGCCCAATAGTTTACACTTTCAACCAATGAACTGAGACCTGCCCCACCCAATGAGGACCTTGCAACTATATCTTCATTTGTATATTTACTTTATAATCTGCACTGCTCCATACCAACCAATTGGAGTGCATGGTGTGAACCAAATAGAACTGTGCAATTTGGACTCCTCATTTACATAAAATTGAACCAATTGGGACCCAGGTTGGGAACTATTACCTGAATAAAATCCCCCTTTTTCTCTCTATTGCTTTTTGGATTTGTTAACAGTTGTTTTTGTTTTTTGACAGAAGGCTATCTTCTAATAGACTATCCCCTAGCTTAAGATGTATCCAATGATCTTAAACAGCTTTGTTTCAGACCCTATAGAGCACATTATATTGGTTCTGGAGTTTGTTCCCAAGGCTCTCTTCTTCCTCTCAGAAAAGATAGTCCCGAGGAAGCTGCAAATCATGCAGCAAACAGCAGAAACCACCTCCTGGTGTTACCAATTTCCTGAGTGTCATATTTCAAGTATTCTCTTCTCTGGAAGGCAGGGTTTGCCAGAGTATTGCCTGCTCCAAGGTTAGTCCACTGACATTATTCTCTCCCACCTCTGCTGCCCAGCTGGAGTGGGTGCACAAAACCACTCTGGTAGGCAGAGCTAGGAGTTCGAGTCATACATGCCCAAGTTAAGAAGCTTCTTTGCCTAAGATTTGATGGTTGCAAGAGCTCCACTGGCAGTCTCATCAAGGAAACTGATTAAAGAGAGAGAAGAGAGATCAGCTGTCTCAGACTGAACCATGAGGCAACTCTCCAGGACCCAATCTCCTGCTTTTCTCTATGGAATTCCTCCTTTTCTTTGGAATTCCTGGGACTCGCTTCTTTTTTTTTTTTTTTTTTTAACTTGACTTCAAGCAGCTTGGCTTCATCTCTGAAAAGGAAGTATTAATGACTTTGGGGTATACATTTTATGTTTATTTAAAAAATATTTCTAGAGTTTTATCACCTTAGAATTAAAAAATACTGAGCAATTTTAATATGCCAGGCATTGTGCTAAGTGGTTTTACATGTATTCTCTAATACTTATAACACCCCTACTGAGATAGGTGCTCTTATTTGACAGACAAAGATGCTGAAGCTCAGAGAGGTTAAGAACTTGTCCAAGATCACACAGAACTATGAATCCAATCTGGGGTGTCTGTCTCCAGAGCCCCCTTATCTGTTCCAACCTCCCCTGTCCTCTATGTTTTAGCAGTAGGCAGCATATGTCTCCCTTTGCCACTGCCCAAGCCCACCCTGCCGAGACGACAGGCTCTGGGTCAGCCCTCCCCAGTTTAACAAGGAAACTTACACTGAGGGGTGTATTTCGACTTGTGTCTTCTGGATCGAAGACCTCAACCTGGTAACTGAATCCAGGGTTTGCTTCTTCCACTATGTAGAGGTCTAGACCTACATCCATCTACATAGTGGAATAAAAAAAGTTTTATTAGATAAAGTAAATAAGAAATTCCAAAACCAGGGCAACCAAAGGAAGCCAAAGAAAACCAAACACAGCCAAGGAAATGAAACATAGTGGCACTGTGGGAAAGGGGGCAGCAACAATAAAGGCCATGAGTGAGACCATGGCCAACTTGCAGGAGTGGATCCTTCTATGGGAAGTAAGTATTAGGGTTGGCCAAACTGGTATCAAGTCTTCACGTGTTGCCTCCAATGAGAGAGGACCTGGGGTACTATTGTTTGGTGGGACAGAGAGAGGTGATAAGGGCAGAGAGTTGGAAAGTAACCATGGGCAGGAACCTCCAGGTGAGGCTGCTCCAAGTTTCAGAACCCCTTTAATGTGTAAATTTTACACATTAAACTGAGCTAAGGTCACTCCTTGAACTGCACTTAGCATCTCAGCAGAAGTGAGTCTCTGAAATCAGAAGCCTTATAATGGAACAGAGAAGAAATGGGATAAGGGGGTGAGAGGGCTGCAGTGAGAGGCTCAGAAAAGGAACCAAAAATTGATTTCATCTACTTCAGAGTTCCTGGTGGTCAGAGGTGGGGGGAGCAGCCAGTACCACTTGACACCACCAGCCCTGCCTGAGGGCCACCATGTTCTCTGCTGTGGCCTCTCTCTGAGAATCTCTCCATCCAAGAGATGACTGAGAAGGCTAACGTTAAGGCACTCTTTTTTAAGACACTGTGCTGAGGACTTAACATAGGGAGAGGCAAAAGTAGGTTTACAGTTGCAAGTACACAAAACACGGAGTTTATTCTTGTATTATTATTTATTAACTATTGTATTACATTCCATACAAACAAGCCTACTTTTGCCCCACCCTATATATTTTCTCCTCTAATCTTCATGACAGCCCTAGAAAGTAGGTATTACAATTTTCTCCACTTTATAAATAAGAAAACTGGCTCAGAGGAGTAATTGAGTTGTCTCTGCTAGTGAGTAATAGGACCAAAACTCAAACTCCAGCCATCTCACATCTGATTTCAGCTTTCATTCACTTTATTATTGCCCATGCTTTCATTCAAAAAGTGTTTACTGTGTTTTCACTGTATAGCAAACAGTGATCTACACATTAGGAATACAGCCGTTCACAAAACCCTACTCTCATGAGCTTGAATTCTAGTGGGAAGACATAGATAATAAAATAAATTAATAAAATGCGTGAAAATTACTGAACAATGTTGTGGAGATAAATCAGAGAAAGCAGTGTTGTGAGTTGGGTTACAATGTTAAATAGAGTAGTTATGGAAGGTTCACTGACATTTGAATAAAGATTCTTAAAGAAATGAGGAGGAGCCATAGAGATATAGAGGTAGAAGGGGCAGAGGAAACAGCAAATGTCAAGATGCTGAAGTAAGTCATGCCTGGGGTACTCATAGATTAGTGAGGGGGCCAGGACTGCTGAAGTGGAGGGAGTGAGGGGACATGTGGGAGACAACATGGTAGGTGGGGAGGATTGTATGGGCTTGCTAGATTTAGTGGGATCTTAAGGAGATTCTGGTTCCACTTTTGGGGGAGATGAGAATCTTTGTAGGGTTTTAAGCAGAGGAATGCCTTGATTTAACTCATATTTAACAGAATCTCTCTGGCTGCTATATGAAGAATCAACTGAAGGAAGCAAGGGCAGAGCAGTGAGTCCAGTAAGCAGGCCAGTGCAGTAATTCAGGCGAGACATGACTAGTGGTTTGCACCATGGAGGTAATGGTGGAGAGGCTAGGGACATTTTGGATTCTGTATAGATTCAGAAGATGACGACATTTCCTAATGGATTTGATGTTGGGTGTGAACGACAGAAAGAAGTCAAGGTTGACTTTGAAGTCTTGGTCCAAGAAACTGGAGTTGGCATTAATTAAAATGGGAAAGGCAAGAAAAGAAGCTTTGGGTGGGGATGATAGGGGTCAGGGGGTTGAAGTGGGAGTCAAGAGTTTGGTTTGGGAGCACATTAAGTTTGAGATTTCATATTCTGACATCAGTTCCAGTGTGGGCGATTTTTCCTATACCACCAAGAAATTCTCTGACATCAGCTGAGAATCCTACTCGATTCAAGTCCAGGTTGTCACCTATGCTTCTGACCCACCAGGTATAAATCTAAGGTTCCTGAAACACCCTCACTGAGTTTGATTAATTTGCTAGAGCAGCTCACAGAACCCAGGGAAGTATTTTACTTATTAAATCACTGCTTTATTATAAAAAGATATAACTCAGGACCAGCCAGATGGAAGAGATGTCCAGAGAACTTTCATGCTCTCTGGGCATGCCACTCTTCACCAACCTGGAAGTTTTTTGAACCCCTTTTGGGTTTTTGGAAGTTTCAGTAAATGGGCATTACTAATTAAATGATTGACCATTGGTGATTGAACTCAATTTCCACCTTCTCTCTGCTCTACAGTGGTGAGAGTGGGGCATGCGTGTTGAAGAAGACTGAAAATCCCAACCCTCCAATCACATGATTGACTCTGCTGGCCACTATTGCCAGGCTTAAGTAAACTAGAGGCAGTCCAAACATCACATCATGAACATATCAAAACATACCTTTACCACTCTCATCCCAGGAAATCCAAGAGTTTTAGGAGATTTGTGTCAAGAACAGGATGAAGATCAAATATCTATTTCTTATTATAAATCACAATATTACAGGTGTCTATTAGATATCCAAGTGGAAATGTTAGGCAAGATACTTGGATATTTGAGTGGAGTTCAGGGGAGAACCTGGTCTAAGAGGATAGACTTGGAGGTTGTCAGTAATGGGTAACATTCAAAGCCATAAGCCTGGGGGAGATTATACAGGAATCTACCCAATGCTCCCATCTCTTAAGTGTTGTCCCTAGTCGGTGGCACACTCCAGGTACACGCTGCTCTCAAGGGGTCAGCATCCTTGGGGAGAATGAACAAGTCAGTCAGTGACCAGTAGTACACAGTGATAAGCCTGGTGGGCTTGGCCCAGATTCCTTCAGAATGATCCACCTGAGGTCCTGAGCCTCCTTTTCCTCCCTAGGACTGGGAGAGGCTCAAGAGAAACCGTGGATGTGAAGGGCTTTGTAAATTACTGGACATTATTATTGGGAGCGTTGGGCTGGGCTATTTATTCCCTGCTCACTAAGCAGCAACCTTTTCCCGGGAAACAGCTGCTTGCTTATTTACTTTTCTGTTTTTCTCTGTCCCCCAGGGTCCTCCCTGATGCCACCATCTGGGCTGCGTGGCACACCCCTGCGTATCTTACCTTTTGCCAAGTTGCCTAGAAACTGAGGCGGCTCATTCACATCTGTTACCTGGACAGTTAGGATCTGTAGGTCAGTGACACCAACGCCATCCTTAACATAAATCTGCAAATCAAATATGTTAGGTCCTGTTTCAAAATCTAGTTGTTCCTTCCCAGTAGTGACAACCTAAAAGTAAATGCAGAATTCTTGGTAATCATATGAAAGAAGGTCTGCTTTGTGTGCATGATTTTGCAAACAGATATTACTAGGAAGAAAGCAAATAGCATCCTGGAAACCATCTTTCACTCGCTGTCAGAGGAACTGGTTGTTTGCCTTAGTCCTTCCAACATAAGCCCCATGACACTTCTTCACTAAAGGGGCTGCTGCGCATGCTGCTGCTTCTCATAAAACAGAAAAACATTCAGGAGACATTCTGGTTGCAATGACAGGAAATAGAAAACCCAAGAATTAAACCTATCACTACTTAGGGTAGGCTCCTAGAGGAGTTCCTTAGCAACCCTGAATATATTTGGATTTTCTAGTTTTTAAAAATGAGATGTTGCACTTTCCTGGGATTGCTGTTAAATTACATCTTGACTCATCACTCCATTCTAATTTTCCCAAGGCCACTTACAAGAATAAACAAAGAAAGAATGATACATCTTCAGAAATAAGGAATGATGTTTACTAACATGAACAGTTTTTTGGGTGTTTTTGCATGTGTGTGCCTTTCTACACGTTCTTCCACTGTCAGCAATTTGTTCTCTGAACTACAAGTGTTTTGGAGTTGTGGAAGGGACACCAGGAATCAGGGCCGGAGAGACATAGACAGAATCTAGACTGTTGCCATCAGGAACCCAGTGGTCCACGGTGGGAAGGGCCTGCTGAAGCTAACAGAGGCCAGTCTGTGAGCTCTTTTATCTATATGCACATCCCTGCCCGTGAGCTCCCAAAAAGTCCCCAAGCCCTTTGAGACATCAAGGACTAAACTTCATAACTGTCTTAATTATGTTAATAGAACTGTTTGGTTATTAATACAACTTGGGTCAGACAATGAGGCATTCAATACTCTGTAGTGAGGAGAGCAGTTAGCTCCAATCTCATTTCCACCACTGAACTTCTGTGTGACCTTGGGAAAGTCACTTCAAGAGCTAGGTCGGGGTACTATGGAAAATCAGAGGGAAGAAAATTCATAGCGAGCTGTGCTTAGTCAGGGAAGGCTTCATGGAAGAGACTGTGGGTCCTGTGTTTGACTTTGCAAGATCTGGATAGGTTAAGAGGAGCTACAGATGTGAATGAGTGTGTGCAGTGGAGGGAGAACATATGGAGAAGGGTTGAGAGGGGAAACGAGGTAGTCTTGTCTCCACCCAGGAGCCAGGTCAGCCTGCCATCCACACAAGTGAAGATGATCTGTGTCTGTGCTTCACATGTGGTAAATAAGAAGCAGCATAACATAGGGCTCTAGAGCATTGACTCTGGAGCCAGACTGACTAGCTTTAAAGCCCAGCTTTCCCATTATTTAACATTTCTTGCCTTAATTGTCCCATTTGTAAAACAGGAATAATAAGAGCATCTACTTTATACTATTGGTGTGGTGATTAAATGAGTTAATCCATGGAATATTTAGATCACTGTCTAGTACTGAGAAAACCCTCAGAAAATTCTGACTTTTATTATTGTTAGTCAAACTGCTTAGTGAATGTACGTCTACCAGAGCAACCTCTCTATCAGGACAGGCCACTCAGTTTCCTGATTTATGCCCTAGCTTCCTGCTAAACCTGTAGCCTTCTCCTGAATCCCAAGCTTGGGCAGATCCTTTACTACAATGTTACCTATGGACAACCCCTTTCCCTTGGGAACTAGCTCTAACTCTCCAGAGGAAGGAACTAGAACAGTGAAAAACAGGTCCAAAAATGTTATATCTTGGAACCAAAGGAAATGGATTGCTGTCAACACAGATGAAAAGTTGTTTTTGTTGTTACCAGCATTTATTAAGTGTCTGTGCCAGGTTCTTGCCAAGCCATTTTGTAGAGTATTTTAATTAATTGTCACAACAACCACAGGTTGGTAGAACTTCCCCTTATTTCACATACAAGGAGACTAGAACAGGAACGGGAAGGAACGCCAAAGGCCCCAACTGCGAGTGGGGAGCCTTGATTTGGTTGCAGGCATCTGGCTGGAGTTTTGGTGAAAGACTAAATTTGATTTTAGGTATTAATCTGAGGTCTTTCTGGACAAGGCTGAGCATATTTACAGGGTCCTCAGTAGATGAGGACAGAGAGGAGTCAGGCTCAGAGATGGGCAAATGGAACAGAGGCAGGCATGGCCTCTGTGTGACCTCAGAGAACTCCAGTCTTTGTACCTGCCTGAGCCTGAAGTCATGCCTCCCTGGCTTCTCAAGGCTATCCCTGTTGCTACAGCTCCAGGAGAAAACCCCCTGACCAATGATTAACCACCCAAGCTGAATGCGGCTCTGACATCACTCTTGCTGGGCAATAGTGAGCAAGTGCAATGTGGAGGCTATGAGCAAGGGTTCCTGGGGCCAGTCTGCCTGACCTCAAATCTCAAGTTAGTCACCAATTAGCTATTTGAACTTGGGCAAGTTGTTCAACCTTTCTATGCCTCAGTTTCCCCACCTTTAACATGCACATAATAATAGTACACAACTTTTAGTATTGGTAGGAGGATTAAATGAATGAATTCACAAAATGTTCAGGAGAATTCCTGGCATATAGTAAACACTCCATAAATGTGAGTTATCATTATCATTAATATTATTAATCCTCCCCTCCCACCCCACCTTCACCAGAAGTCTCAGCAGCTGGCATGATTCAGAGGTTACCCTCAGCAAGGCCTAAACAACTGAGTCCTTAGGTCAACATTGACCAGACCTCTAAGCCAAAGACTCAAAAACCTCATTGCGAGACTCATCATCCTACAGTGTCAAGGCTGCCTAAGTAGGAGCTAGGTTCTGCCACAGAGATGGCAGTGACAAGAGCAGGAGTGGCTCTTATGAGCAGTTTGGGTTAGAGAATAGGATTTTCCTGGAGGTGATGTTTGACGATACTGGGTAGTTTCCAGGGAAAAGCAATCAATCCTTTTTTTTCCCCATTACTGTAGACATTCAATATTATTTTATATTAGCTTCAGGTTTACAGCATAATGGTTAGACATTTATACAATTTACAAAGGGATCCCCTAATACGTTTAGTACCCGACCTGGCACCATAAACAGTTACTACAATTTTTTTTTACAATATTATTGACTATACTCCCTATGCTATACGTACTTTAGATCCCAGTGACTTATTTCACTTAACATAATGCCCTTTAGGTCTATCCATTATGTTAGAAATGGTTGTCAGAATGGTAAGATTTCATTCTATTTTATGGCTAAGTAATATTCCGTTGCAGATATTTACCACTATTTTTTTTTATCCAATCATCTGCTGATAGACACATCAGTTGCTTACATATCTTGGCTATTGTAAATAATGCTGCAATGAACATAGGGATGCATGTATCTTTCAAATCAGTGTTTTGGATTTCTTTAGATAAATACCAGAACTGAAATTGCTGGGTCAAAAGGTAGTTCTATTTTAATTTTTTGAGGAGCCTCCATACTATTTTCCATAACTGCACCAATTTGAATTCCACCAACTGTGCACAAGGGTTCCCTTTTCTATTGATTTATTGATAATAATCATTCTGACAGGTGAGTGGTGGTATCTCATTGTGGTTCTATAATTAGTAATGTTGAGCATCTTTTCATATGCCCATTGCCTTTTCTGTATGTTCTCTTCAGAGAAGTGTCCATTCAGGTCCTCTGCCCGTTTTTAAATTATTTGTTTGGTTGGGTTATTTTGGCAATAAGCTGTATGAGTTCTTTATAAATTTTGGATATTAATCCCTTATCAGATGTATCATTGCTGAATATCTTCTCCCCTTTGGCAGGCTGTTTTTCCATTTGGTGTATGGTTTTCTTGCTGGACAAGAACTTTTTAGTTTGATGTAGTCCCATTTGTTTATTTTTTCTTTTCTCTCACTTGCCCAAGAAGATATATCAGAAAAAAAAATATTACTAAGAGCAACATCAAAGAGTTTAGTGCCTATGCTTTCTTCTAGGAGTTTTATTATTTTAGGTCTTATACTTAAGTGTTTAATCCATTTTCAGCTTATTCTTATATATCGTATAAGAAAATGGTCTAGTGTTATTTTTGTATGTATCTGTCCAATTTCCCCAACACCAGTTATTAAAGAGACTGTCTTTACCCCATTGTATTTTCTTGCCTCCTTTGTCTTGGATTAATTGACATATAGGTGTGAGTTTATTTCTGGACTCTGTTCTATGACATTAATCTATCTGTTTTTATGCCAGTACCATTTCGTTTTAATTACTATAGCCTTATACTATAGTTTTATATCAGGTAGAGTGATACTCCTACTCTATTCTTTCTCAAGATTGCTGTGGCTATGGAGGTCTTTTGCGGTTTCATATAAATTTTAGTAATACTTGTTCTGTGAAATTAGTGCTGTAAAAATATCATTGGTATTTTGATAGGAATTGCATTAAATCTATAGATTTGGGGGGAGAGTATAGACATTTTAATGATGCTAATTCTTCTTATCCATGAGAACAGTATATGCTTCTATTTAATTCTATCTTTATCAATTTCTTTTTTCAGTGTCTTATAATTTTCCAAGTATAGGTCTTTTACCTCCTTGGTTAAATTTATTCCTTGATATATTTTTGATGCAATTGTAAATGGGATTGTTTTCTTAATTTCACTTTCTGATAGTTTCTTATTGGTGTATAAAAATGCAATCTATTTCTGAAAATTAATTTTGCATCCTGCTACTTTACTGAATTCATTTATCAGTTCTAATAGTTTTTTTGGTGGAATCCTTAGGGTTCCCTATATATAGTATCATGTGATCTGCAAATAATAACAGTTTTACTTTGTCCTTTCCAATTTGAATACATTTTATTTCTTCTTCTTGTCTGCTTACTGTGCCTAGGACTTCCAATACTGTGTTAAATAAAAGTGATGAAAGTGGACATCCTTTCCTTGTTTTTGATCTTAAGGAAAAGACTTATTACTTTTAACCGGTGAGTGTGATGTCAGCAATGGCTTTTATCATCTTGCATGGCTTTTATTATGTTGAGATAAAATCCCTCTATTTCT